CATTTGTACATATGAATTAATTACTAAAATAAATACCTGGCAAGATACGCCAAAGTTAAAAAAAAAAAAAAAAAAAAAAATATTAGGATAAAGATTAGCATTGATAATATTACAATTATTTTGGCCTAATTTAAATTTTAATTAAGTGTATAGTAAATTAAATATTATTTTATAATTAATTAGATTAACTTTAGGGTTAATAAGTTATACATTGCTTCTTGATTATAAAAAATTAGAGATCTTAGCATTAGGGTTATTAAATGATCGTGTGACTATTAGTCATCATGCCATAATAAATAATGTGATACAGTGGCTTACAACACAAGCTACTGTGTCACAAGCCACAGTGGCACAATCACTTGAGGTCACGTAACTACAAGGCTCTAGCCGACTTCATTTGTGGTATGTACATAATAAATATGGTACCGGAGTTTTATATTAGGGTGATGTTCCGTGATTGTAGCTAACAATAAAATTAATTATTTCGACATACTGCGCTAAAAAACATAGTATATTTTTAAAATGGCAAACCATTTTACAGAAAATTTATTTTAAAAAAATCGACTGATTACTTTATACACAGAACTAAGCTCTGTAAATTATCGACCAATTTTTTAAAAAATTCTTCTACATAAAGTTATAGCATTCTAAAAAAAAAAAAAACAATTTTCAAATCAGTATGATTATTTATAGATGAAATTTTTTTTTAAAAAAAAAACGGACTAATAACTTTGTAGAGCTTAATTCTTTATATAGAATTATCGGTCGATTTTTTATTGCGGTTTGCATAATTTTGTGAAATTTAAAGATCAAAAAAAAAAAAATTTTTATGTGGTTTCCAATTTCTTAAAACTACACCGACATAACAATTTCATATCCAATTATCGGAATAGTTTTAAAAAATCAGAAATCACGCAAATGATTTCTTTTACGTATCTTTTTTTTCTTTTTATCTTCAAATTTCACGAAATTATGCAAACCGTGCTGTAAAAGAACACGAGAAATTGAACCATCTCCCGTGATTGTCGAATATAGACTTCTGGCACCATAATAATTATTGTATTCTAAATATAGTATTTCAGTTTCGGGATTATTTCGGATTATTTTAATATTAATATTTCTTAAAATGAAAAACAAGTCAAACAATTGTATTCTTATTTGTGAAACTAGTGAAACGTTACGTTTCAAACTGTGTAAATTAGTTAACAATGAGAATCAGTAACATGACATGACACCCTCCCATGAACCTACACAACCCAATTGTTAGTATGAAATTTAAAATATACTGTTATATAGACTATAATTCAATATTGTCATGGTTTGATAGATTAATTATAGATCGTTCGTGATAATTTGCGGTAGACTTTTCACGAGTATAAAGGATAAAATTTAAAAATTATGCATATAGATTATTTAGGGCTAGGCTTAAATATTTAGTAAAATTTTGTTTATATAATAAAATTTGTGAATTCACCAAGTTGTAAAACGGTCATTTCATTATATGTTCTTGAAAGAATTTTCTATTTAACAAATTCAATTCTCATATAAACTATATTTAATACTGTAACTTCAAATTTTTTCTTATTAAGTAAATTAATAAATGATAAAACAACACAATAATAGTGTAATAACTATTTATAAATCTATCCATCTTTCTCACGTACAAGCGTCTAAAAAAATAATCCGTCTATATCATTTCCCACGTACAGATGTCTATATATGTTGTAAAATAATCCGAAGTGTAACTTTTCTGGAAACAAACAAATCAATTAAAAAGAACCGTTACTCATTATTATTATTCCATCATTACAGGTTTAATTCTTTTGTCTCAATCTTTAACAAAATCTTTAACAAAATCTTTAACAAAATTCATATAAAATAAAAAAATTGCCGTTTAAAAACAAACCATGTAAGCAACTTTAATACCTAATGTAATGGATAATGTTAATTTTTCAATAAGATTTACTGTGCGGATACCGCATAATTTATAACCTTTTTCTGTGCAGTAAATAAAATAAAATAAAATATAATAATAATAATAATAATAATAATAATAATAATAATAATAATTTTTTATGTGCGGCATCCGCACATCCCATTCAAAATATGTGCGCAAAATTTTGTTTCTGTGTGTTGTGCACAGTCTGAATAGTAAAAAATATTTTATCCGTTAACCTATTATTCTATTACAGTAAGTGCCAATTATAATTGACATTAACTTTTTTAAATATTTATTGCAGGTGCAAGTGTGATATCGAACTTTTTCAGCGTAGCAACTCTGATTATGGCTTCTGTCCGAGTCCGAGCTGTCACCGACCAAATACTTTTACAAACTGGTGTAAGCATTGTAATGCTAAAAGATTTCGACAAAACTTTAATCGATGGACAAGTGATAATTCAGCTATTGACAAATTTATTCGTAAAGCTCAACTTTCAGCTATGAGTCCATGGGAATTATTGGAATGGATTCCTTACTCACGTCTTGAAAAAATTACCTACGTGGCAAAGGGAGGGTTTAGTACTATATATAAGGCTATCTGGATAGATGGATATATCCGTCAATGGGACTTTGAAAAAGATGATTGGCTTAGGAAACAACTTTTGATCCGAGATTGGTCTTATATTTATGATGAAATGTCACCAACCAATGGTTCAACTATTGGAAGGATGGTTGTACTTAAAATTCAAGAATCCTCAAGCGAAGAAGCTTTTCTAAATGAAGTACGTTTTTTTATATGTACTACATATTTCCTATCGCATTTTTGTTTTTTTACTAATTCATAATTATTATAGTTGAAATACCATTTACAATCATTTAAAGCTGCAAGAAAAATCGGATCAATGTTATTCCCATTATTGGGAGTTACAAAGGATCCAAATACTTCAAAATATATAATGGTTTTAAAATATGCACAATACGGTAATCTCAGAGATTACCTACGGCAAATTTCTTGTTGGAAATGGGAAAAAAGGCTTTTTGCTTTATTCCATATTGCTTCGGGACTCGCTGCTATTCATGAGTCAAACCTTGTTCATAAAGATTTACATGGCGGCAATATACTCCTTTATGGAGTTTTGGAGGGCTACCATGTAGCATTAGTTGCTGATTTGGGGTTAGCCGTTCCAAGTAATCATATATCAAAAAAGAAGGGATTATACGGTGTCATTCCTTATATGGCTCCTGAAGTACTTCTTAGAAGTAGCTCTTATACCAAGTCAGCAGATATATATAGTCTAGCAATTATAATGTGGGAGATTGCATCAGGTGAACTTGCATTTGGGAATGTGCCACATAATAAAGATCTATGTCTTGACATCATATTTTTTGGCAGTAGACCAAAAGTTAATAATTCTATACCACAGTGCTATGCTTCGTTAATAAAAAGATGTTGGGATGTAGACCCGCTTCGGAGACCAACCGCTAATGAAATAAGAAACATTATTGGTGACTGGTTAAAATATTTTAATTTAAAAAATTTCAATGATATCGAAATTAACGAATTCTTGCAAGCTGACAAAAAGCTGCAAGAATATGATTCAATGTCCCGGCAAATATCAAGAAGTCAATTACATTCTGAAGCATTTTATACTAGCAGGTTACTCAACTTTTTGTCGCTCGATAATCTTTATAAATACGAAAGTAAAATTAAAAGAAATCATAGTTTGACCTTTCTTAATGAAAATTCAGGTATTTTATTTGTTGATTAATATATTTAATTTTAATATTTCATTTATCATTTACATTGAAAATTAATTTTTATAATTTTAGAATTACTCATGGCCAGCAAGGAAATTGGTATGCTTGTACTAATTATTCGGGTGAAGACAGTAGAAAGCCTGTAAATTGATTAATCCATTGGACTTTTCCCGTGAAGAATTTACTCCGATGTGACATTCGAGTCACTTCAGCAATATAGTTATGCTACAAATAAATTACTTTTTATTTTCCCAAAAAATGTATCACTATGTGTTACCAAAACGTATGCAAGTAGTATTAATCATCACTCGAAAGTCCAAAATAATTTGGACAATCATCATGATTTCAGGATCAATTTTCAAGGAATTAATCAATTTACAGGCTTTTATTTATTTTGATTTTAATTTTTAATATATGCCCTATTAATGACGATGGCTTTTTTTGCCTATAGCTCTGACCATTGACAGAACATTAAAAGGATCTAAATCTAAAAAAATATTCAACAATTTACGATACCCTGGCCTTCTCTTTAAATTTATATTCTTAAATTTTATAAAAACTTTCTTTATAGACTTCTTATTGAATTTGGTTAAATTTTTTTCTTGAATTATTGTGTTTCCTTCCTTGAAAATTACCATTATTTTGGCTTAGCCTTACACATTTACAATGGCATATTAAAGAGTTAAATTTGATACTAAATTATAAACGAAATCAAATTATGGTGCAAATCATCTAAAGGCATCCATAGCTGTAACTTTTCAATGAACATTTGGAATTTGTTAAAAATAAAAACGAAACTTTATAGTCCTAGATAAGATCTCCAAGGTTACCTTTTTTTTTTTTTTGAGAAATTTTCTATTTGTCGAGGAAATACAACTTAAAGAAAAGCCTAACAGGAACTTTTGAAGACTAATTAATCAGCAACATAAAGTTTGGTTTAGCTCAATGTAGAAAATCTGATTTAAATTTAATACTCACAGTTCTCAAAATTGGTGATATGTTCTTAAATGCTAAATAATTAAAAAGTATTAATATAATATTGTTACTAAAAAATCTCTAATTAATGTGAATAAGAAATATTAAATAGAAATGAATAAGTATATTAATTGATAAATAGTATTAATAGACTACAATAAAAAAATTAATTTGTAAAGAATAACATATTAGTTTCAAGTTGAAGCTCTTTTATTCGATTGTAAATTCATTACCTCTACTTGATTTATTAACAGATCTAAGATTTAATATCATACTTTACTTCTGCTGTATTAATTGCATTCTACGCATTCCTACAATCAGAACTTTTTATAATTGCATTCACATTATAAACCATGAAATAGCATAAGCTATGCAGATTTAATTCCTAAGAATATGGGAGCTCTTTAAGGGGCACAAATAAAATCCACAAATCTAATTAAATATATTTTGTTAAATTCTATTTTTTAAATACAATTCCATGAATACCCTATTCGGGGCTATGTGAATTGAATAAAATCTTTTACATATCCATGAAGTTTATTCTTTGGGTATCTGATATTTCAAGATCTATGCTTAATTAACTAGTCTGATTAAGAATGAAAAATAATCGGTTTGATGATATGTTAGCTAAACTATATGTAAATAACAATAAATTCTGAAATTTTACTTCTGCAAGACTGTTATTCACACCGTGATGAAAAAAAAAAACAAACCCAAAAAAGGTGATAAAAAATTGAATTCGTGTTCATCACGGTGAATTATGAAATTAAGATTCAGTCGCCAAATTTACACTGCTAACGCATCTAACACATCACCTTTTTAGACAGAGATTTATATATGACGATGCAAAATTTCAGATTTTGGGGTATTTCATAAAATTCGTCATAATGTATAATATTAGAATATCATGATGTATTGCATGACCTTGAATACTATTTAAGAGATTAATAATTGTTGCGGTTGAAGCTGGAAACGGAAATTTAATTATTTTAATATGAAATTTCGATTTTTTTTTGGGCCTTTTGTTAGGGGGTTTTTTTAAGGTTAGGTTAGGGTTTAGGAGTAGTTTTATTAATAAAAGAGTATAAGTGGATTTTGTTAGGGTTTATATTTTTAAATTAAGGTCCCTAATTTCAATCATCGGCCGTTTCCAGCATCAGCTGCGACAATAATTATTTTGTTAGCCAGTCGATTGAAACAGATAATACTAAAATAGAAAAAACAATGGGATATAAAAAACGCAATTATGATTTAATAAATAATTTACTTTGATAAAAATAATATTGCTTAATAATTGTTAAACAAATCCTAATAATCTAATTCATTCTATCAATCTTTAATATCATTCTTTAATTTCTCCTTTAATAACCTTCTTAGAATTTTACCCCCATTTCTTGGAATTCTATCAATAAACAATATACCACCTCTTAATTTTTTATGCGGTGCAACCTTTTCATCTACAAAAGATTGGATTTCTTCTGCTAAAGCTTGAGACTGCTCATATCCGTTTTTAATTGTGATATATGCCATAAGAATTTCGGTCGCTTCTTCTTTAGAATAATATCCTATTACTGCTGCATCTGATACAGCATCATGTATGAGCAGAATCGATTCCAGTTCAGACGGTACCACATAAAGATCCTGCAAATTTTAATTTTATTGTTAGTCAAATATGATGGCATAATAATTTGCAAAAATATTAATTCAAATCGTACTTTGTATTTTATTAACTCTTTTTTTCGATCAACAATAAAATAGTTTTCTTTATAAAAAAAAAAAGAAATTATAATTATGTAACCATATAAATATAAATTTATTCAATAAAAAAAAATATACCATGCTCATCAACAGATGCAATATCTTCTGTGTTAAAAAATCCGTCTTTGTCGATGACGGCATCTGTAGCTTCTTTATTATTAAGATAATCCTGTTTAAAGTGCGACTTTTAACACAGATAGAATAATTATTTAAGTAAAGCATAATAATTATACACGTATTATACCTTAAAAATATTTGGACCATGAACCCACAATTCTCCAAGTTCATTGTATCCCAATTCTAAAATATATAATGGTAAATTTGGTAAATTTTACTTAAACCATAAATTAGGAATAACCTATATAGTTACCATAGCCATCACTTGATAATATTTTAGCTTTCATGTTTGGAAGAAGAACTCCAGAAGAACCTATTAAAATAGTTGCTTTAGTAAACCGTGAAATATGCTCTTTATTTACAGTAAGCGCACCATTTAATGATACAGCACCTGGAACAGCATTCTTCGTTGTATCAAGATGCTGTAGTGCCAGAGACGTTTCAGCCAGACCTTTATTATATAACATAAACGATAGATAATAATTTACCATAATGAAAGGAAAGTTCAAACGACCTAACAATAAACTTACCATAAGTTTGCAAATTTGGTATTTTAAACATTTCATAAAATTTTCTTTCCAATTTATCACCTAATGGGGCTGATGTACTTATAATCATATCCACGCTTGATAAATCAAATTGTTGAGTCAATGGATCATTGATAAGTTCAAGTATAATCTGCGGTACAGCGTAAATACGATTAATCTTATATTTTTGAATTGATTCGCAAAACGGTTTCAGAATGAAGTTCGAATGAATGATTGTAGTAGCACCCTATGTAATTAATATATAATTCTTAAATTAAATTGATAATGTAATGATCAAACAACATAAAACGTGAAATAACAAACGTGAATTAAGGTCGCATGAAGAACATCAATTAACGCATAACTGTGACTAAATGGCTATATTTTTTAAAGCAATAATGAAAGTTACTCTGAATAATTATTTAAACCTGAAAATACTTTAATAAGAATTCTTTTATATGACTTACTGTAACACCCATAATTATACTGTGTGATCCAATTTTACAATCTGTACAGATTTGTTGAGCCAAATTAGCAGTTACATTTGTATGTGTGAGTTCGATACCTTTTACTGCTCCGGTTGTTCCAGAACTGTAAAGCAAATAAGCAGTCGTTGATTTTGCTTCTTCAGGAGTATAATAAATCGGTTCAATTTCACGATCATTTATTAAAATAGAACAATAAGGTTTATATCCCTTTATTTCTTTATCACCAAATAACAATACTCTGGAGGTGGGGATTTTTGCACTAATTGAAGCTTCAATAGCGACTTCAAAAATTTCTGGATGCACGATTAGAACCGATGCACCTGATTCGGTTAATCGATAAGATAATCCAGTTACATCACTTTTTGGAGTAGCCAACGCTACTTTGCCTCCTATACAGAGATGCATAAATATAATTTTAAAATTAGAATAACACTAATGATATTATTAATTTATATAAAATTATACTGTATAATACCAGCCGCAATCGTTCCCAAGAGTACGATAGGATAATCAACCTTGACAAAATAATTGTATAACAAAAATGAATGAATTAATGACTTAACTAATGAAAAATTTTAGAGTACCTGATCAGGTGAAAATATCGCTAAAGTATCCCCACGTTTAAATCCTAACTTATCTTGCAATCCTGCGGCAAACCTTTTTGACTCATGCTTAAATTCGCCAAAAGTGTAACTTCTTTCAGTAATCCCGTCCACGTAAATAACCTTATCGTCTGAAATTTTGTTTGGATTACTAGTCACATATTGATAAATTCCGACTTGAGGAATTTTTATATCAGGATATTTAGATTCAAAGATCATTTTTTATAATTGGTTGGAATAAGTTAATTTCATGTCATATTTATATATAAATCCATATACGTACAGTATTACGTATGGTAATAATAAGATAGCTGCGCAGCACGCAGTGCCGCGCAAGACCAGTACGATCAGCGCATCATCAGATTTCAGAATATTTTGTTCAATTAACCTATCAAGATATACTGGTATTTTATTTGCACCGATTAACGCGAATAAAATAGTTCATTTCATCAAAAAGATTTTATTAAGTAAAATACCCAATTTTATTATTTTCAAAATATTACAATGTTTTTAAAGAAAAAAGATAAGGCCACACAAAGTTAATTTTTCGTTTTGCATTACCCGCCGACCCATTTTTCGATTTTCAAATTTTTTTTTAGGTTCCAATTGTGCCAATTGTTCTATTTTTGCCATTTAATATTTCCCAAACATTATTCAGTTAGTACCCAATAGAGGCCTTATTTTCCGGAATTGTTCGATAGGACTGATAAAAATTCGATTGCCGACCCAATTTTCTGATTCCATGTTATGTAAAGCGAAAAATTAATGCATGACCTTAAATGTGAATATGAGCCTATTATTTACTGTAGAATTAAAAAAAAAAATCCAACCGACCGACTGTTGATTCTGAAATACCTGTTATGCAAAACGAAAAATTAACTTTGCGTGGCCTAGGCCACACAAAGTTAATTTTTCGTTTTGCATTACCCGCTGACCCATTTTTAATTTTTAGAACTTTTTTTTTAGGTCCCAATTGTGCCAATCGTTCTATTTTTGCCATTTAATTTTTCCCATAAATTATTCCGGTAGAACCCGATAGAGACCTTATTTTTCTGGAATTATCCGATAGAACTGATAAAAAAATTCGATTGCCGACCCAATTTTCTGATTCCATATTATATAAAGCAAAAAATTAATGCGTGACCTTAAATGTGAATATGAGCCTATTATTTACTGTAGAATGTGATGCCGTGAACGAAGTCACGTGGTATCCATTTGCCACGAGACTGTGACCCGGTCCCACGACCTGGGACTGATGTTCGGTAAGTATGATGTATTCGTGACGGGATTTTGATTGATTAAGCGATGTATCGTTTTGATTGATTTGTAAAGGTAATTTATGGTGGGAATGTTTTAAGTTGTTGTGAGTAAGTATGAGGTAATGGTAGTAGTTTTTAAGGAGAAGGAGTTGGTTTGTTGTTCTCCCTCTTTTGTCTTTGCTGCTAGCTCGACGCAAGTCTGGCTTCGTCGTTTATACCCACCCACCGCCTCTCAGTGGGGTGTTTTGAATGGTGATTTTTGTGCGTGATTAGTTGAGCGTTTTAGGTGGCAGCTATGTAGTTTTTATTAGCCCTTTGTACAATTTGTTAGCAGAGGAAGGTTTATATTTTGGGAAGCTCGATGCTAGGGATCGACTGTGGACCACGTGAGCAGCAGGGGTTATCGCGTTTTGTTATTTCGTAGTCATGTTAGTTGTATATGGGGTTGAGTGACAATTTAAAAAAAAATCCGGCCGACCGACTGTTGATTCTGAAATACCTGTAATGCAAAACGAAAAATTAACTTTGCGTGGCCTAGGCCACACAAAGTTAATTTTCATTTTGCATTACCCGCCAACCCATTTTCAATTTTTAGAACTTTTTTTTTTTTTTTTAGGTCAATCGTTCGATAGAACTGATAAAAAAATTCGATTGCCGACCCAATTTTCTGATTCCATGTTATGTAAAGCGAAAAATTAACTATGCGTGACCTTCATAGGCAGACATTCGTATGATTGGCTGTTTAAATCAATTTAATTTTACATTATTTATACAGTTTAAAGTAC